TGGTTTTTAGACATTTTGATCAACAAGACCCCTTTAAGTAGAAATTCAATGACATCTAAATTTAATGACAAAAGAAAAAAAAATGTAACATTAATATATCTATAAATAGTTTTTTTTAGTAGCTAAACTTCATGCTCTTTAAAAAATCTAGTAGAGAGGTATGTAAAATTACATGTATTTGTTGATTTGTATACATGTATTAACATAGTAATGGTGATCTTCTCATCTGAAAAGTTTCTTGTTTATATAAATCTACATGTACCGGTACATATCTTTTCATTGTAGATTAAAACTGAACACGACACATAAAAAGGAAACATCATTTTGGTTTTCTCATTTCTTATATTAGCACTCGGTAATATAGACCCTTTAAATTTGTTAAACCTGATTGCTTTTAGCTAGTCATTACAGTATCAGTGCAGCTAATATTGTCCTTTTTGTTTATGTTTCATTTCATAAAATAAACAAGCATTTATGTTTACTTGTGTTGACCTATGCAATAAAAATAGTGAGTATCATTGGTATCTTTTTCCCTGACATCCAATAAGTCAACTAAAATCATTTTAATCTAGCCCTTTCACATTGGCTATGAAGCAGACTTTTGTTCTGATCAATTCTATGAAGCAAAAAATATCAAAATCTAAACAATTGGAGGACAGAAAGAACTACCGTCCTTTTATGAAATGTGGTCAGCCTGAATTTTTCCTAGAATTAAAAAAAAAACACACACTTATTTTCCAACAAATCATTAATTAGATATTTATAAAACAACTTCTTTAATTTACTACACTTACAACCTCTCATTAACAATATATACAAAATACATGATACTTTAATGCACATATAAATTGGCTTATTTTGTTCACTGAATATGTTCTTTAACAATGCACATACAAACAAACAACTGATAAATCTCAGCAATGACTTTTATACACCAAAAATAAATAATGCATGTACTAGAACTGTACAGACAAAGGTTTTCTGGACAGATAAAAATATTTCATTCATAAGAGAAAATAAACAGCACTCTGAATGTGGAATCATAACCCACTCATATCTCTCCTATAAGTCTATGTAATTATAGATTAAATAATATCTAATAAAATTGAAACTTTTTTACATGAACTATGCAATAAACTTCTACAATCATTTTTACAGTCATTAATGCTAAATGATTCGATTAACATGATTAAATCAGGAATTATTATGAAAATATCGTCTGAAGATACAAATTGTCAAAAACAATTGATAATTTGCAAGTGGATTGTCTATCTCTATCTTTATTGTATTTCAAAATAAGAGTTTATGTATGAAGTAGATATTCGATGGAAAAGAAAAACAGGAGGTTCACAATGACACTAGGTGACAAATATTCTGGGAATCTTATTCACTGTATAGGAGAGGTTGAGTATAAGAGAACTGGGTAGCTCCAATTGTTAGATTGGAAAAACCTACAGATGGTCACCCAAATTGGGCTATAAAAGCAGATTATAAAATATTCTATTTTTTTGATTAAAAATCTAAACAAAATCTAGATTTTTCAAGTATACAAATTTGTTTTTTATAACACACTGTATTGAATAATAGTTTATTTTGGCATGCACAATCAATATTAATGTAACAGAAAACAGAGTCTCTCACATCCATGAAAACACATATCTAGTGTAGCTTGCCAAAAATGTGGGTATAATTCATCAGATTCTTCACCCACACCTGGATTTACATGGTCAGCTGCTTAACAAGTTACTGGCAAGCACAAGTCTTGTGTTGTCTTGGAGATGTCCTTGACACCTGAACACCGAGGCTACGGACAGCTGGCAGTGACTGTCTGCTTTAGAAGCACCACCTGAGATTTAGTCAGAGGAAGAAAATTAAATACATGTACATAATTATACATAAAATTAAGTTAATAGTTTTGAATTAAAAATCAGACAAAGGTTTATAAATTAGTAAAACAAATTCACTAATAGGCTTGATTCTTTTTAGTTGGTAACATGCTAGATGTGTTGACATTTGCTATAAGTATGCTAAAGAACGTGATGTGTCAAAAATTCCTTTAAAATACGTCAATACAGGGTGTCTTCTATAATGAAGAGGCGAAGCTTGTTTTTAGAAACCTTCCACAGTTTAAACTATCATGGAAATTATATTCATCATATAATAAATTGTACTCACATAAACATTGCACATTTAGAAGTTCCAGCTTCAGCAGAAATCATACTCTGACTTCCTTTTCTGTTTGAGTGCCTTTGAAGAAAATCAAATAAAATGAAAATGAAATGCTTCTTTGCCTTTTTTAGAAATATATATACATTGTTTTCATTTTAATCATGGATATTCTTCCCTTAATATACATATTTTTGCTGCTGTCCATAGATTTACTGAAACATGTAGATTTTAAATTGATTTGTAATTTAATTGCATCACTTGAAAATATTATAATTATTATATTTTGATGTATTATTTGCATGACATATTGTTATATTTATGGAGAGGAACTAGTAAGTTGTAAGAACTTGTTTCCAATCCATTTGACTCGTTCAATAAAATATGTTCAACACAATATTTTGAAAGAAAATTGTGATAAACATGTATGAGTCATAAATACATTTATTGTCCAACCTTTTTAATTGCTGTCCAGTCTTCTATAATTTCTACATCCTTTAACATGTATACTATATAGGGCCCTAAAGAAAACCAAAATGATATCAGTATGATCTTCAGACAATATTTATTCTCAACAAAAATAATACCAGTAAATGGTTACTGATTAATGATAAGAGTTCATCTTGCAAAACATTTACATTTCAAAAAACTGAGTTTGTATTTAATTTATTACAATAATCTCACTAGTAAATTGCCAAAATTAATGTATAGTAGATAAAAATACATGGAGTTAAGATTATAAACCAGTAGTACTAAAAATAGAACTTAATACTGCTGGGGAAATGTTACATATCATTTGATTAACCAGAAGTCTCTGTCGAGACTGTAGCTCTACTGGTTTGTACTTATCAAAAGCCATTGCACTATTTTATGTATCTTTGTGTAGTCTACTTGTGTGCCAACTTATTTTGAAATCAAACTAAAACTGTAGAAGGAGTAGCGTTTTAAAGGAATTTCACAGAAATTTCTATTTCTAGTAACCGTGGTAACACCGTTCATCGAAATCAAAAACCGATGCACTATTCTATGTATCATAGTGTAGTCTACTTGTGTGCCAAGTTATATTGAAATCAGACCAAAACTGTAGAAGGAGTAGTGTTTTAAAGGAATTTCACAGAAAATTCTATTTTTAATAACCATGGCAACACCGTTCACCGAAATCAAAAACTCATGCACTATTCTATGTATCTTAGAGTAGTCTATTTGTGTGCCAAGTTACATTGAAATCAGAATAAAAACTGTAGAAGGAGTAGTGTTTTAAAGGTATTCACAGAGAATTCTATTTTTAGTAACCATGGCAACACCGTTCACCGAAATGAAAAACTGATGCACTATTCTATGTATCTTAGTGTAGTCCTTTTTTGTGCCAAGTTACATTGAAATCAGAATAAAAACTGTAGAAGGAGTAGTGTTTTAAAGGTATTCACAGAGAATTCTATTTTTAGTAACCATGGCAACACCGTTCAGAGAAATCAAAAACTCATGCACTATTCTATGTATCTTAGAGTAGTCTATTTGTGTGCCAAGTTACATTGAAATCAGAATAAAAACTGTAGAAGGAGTAGTGTTTTAAAGGTATTCACAGAGAATTCTATTTTTAGTAACCATGGCAACACCGTTCACCGAAATCAAAAACTGATGCACTATTCTATGTATCTTAGTGTAGTCTACTTGTGTGCCAAATTATATTGAAATCAGACCAAAACTGTAGAAGGAGTAGCATTTTTAAGGAATTTCACAGAAAATTCTATTTTCAGTAACCATGGCAACACCGTTCATCGAAATCAAAAACCGATGCACTATTCTATGTATCTTAGTGTAGACTACTTGTGTGCCTAGTTATACTGAAATCAGACCAGAACTGTAGAAGGAGTAGCGTTTTTAAGGAATTTCACAGAAAATTCTATTTTTAGTAACCATGGCAACACCATTCATCGAAATCAAAAACCGATATACAGAACTAGGTATCTTGGTGTAGTCTACCTGTGTGCCAAGTTATATTGAAATCAGACCAAAACTGTAGAAAGAGTAGCATTTTTAAGGAATTTCACAGAAAATTCTATTTTTAGTAACCATGGCAACACCGTTCATTGAAATCAAAAACCGATGCACCATTTTATGTATCTTAGTGTAGTCTACTTGTGTGCCAAGTTATATTGAAATCAGACCCAAACTGTAGAAGGAGTAGCGTTTTTAAGGAATTTCACAGAAAATTCTATTTTTAGTAACCATGGCAACAGCGTTCATCGAAATCAAAAACCAATGCACTATTCTATGTATCTTAGTGTAGTCTACTTGTGTGCCAAGTAATATTGAAATCAGACTAAAATTGTAGGAGGAGTAGCGTTTTGAAAAATTGTTTACAGACAGACGGACAGACAGACAGACAGACAGACAGACAGACAGACAGACAGACAGACAGACAGACGGACGGACGGACGCCGGACGTATTACTATCGCATAAGCTCTTCTGGTCTCTGACCAGTAGAGCTAAAAAAAGAATCTATGATATCTTATACCTGACACAGAAACAGGTTTTTTCCTTCGTTCTGAAGAAGTACCGTCTATTTTCTTTTTACTCTTACTCATTGTTTGTGTTTCATCCCAGAGATCTAGGAAACAAAAATAAAATAACAAAAATGTCAAAGGATTTTGAACCAAAAAAGTAAAGCTTTATGTACAATATATTACAATTTGACTACAATGTATTACAAAATACAAAGTGAACAAAGTTGACGTGTACAAAAATTTTTTACTTTGAAAAATGTTGACTAAAGTCTTAATCATAACCAAGTTGTGCTAATCGCTAAGGAAATAAATACTAAATTTCACTGATTAAACACATACCTGAAGATATATCTATATTATGTCTATCTTCTTCTAGTCGGCGGATTCTATCCTCAAGTTCACCTTTGACACTATCATATAAAAGTTCCTTTTCACTCTACAGTGGAAAGAAACCATATGAAATGTTGATTCAAAGAAAGAACAATTAATGATACAAGCAGATTTACCATAAAATTAAAGTACAGAACATAATATTTATTTTTCTGATAAAGTTAATATAAGATTATTTGCAAAAAAATTATTCATGAATAATGCAACAAGTAAATGTTGGAATAGAATTTATATTTTACCTCTAAATTTTGCTGTGCAGCTAAAACCTCACTTTCAAATTTATTTTGAATACTGTCTATCCTGAATTCCCTTAAGATTCCTGTGAGAAAAAAAATTAATATAATGTTCACCTTCATTTTACTATCTGGAAAAAAAATGACAGAACACAAATTCAACACATACAAACTTTATATTATTGTTATAACTTCTTTAGTCTATCATCATTTTTCAAACATGGTAACATTTGAGGAAATGATTCTTGAATCATATGTTCTGTACAAATTTAATTGTACATGTACCACTAAAGTCAGGCTATCTATTTATATTCAGCCACATGCTAAGTTTCAATGCTTTGCCTATAAATTGAAAACAGATTATTTATAATACAATTATTTTTTAAACTAAATTTGTGCAGTAGAATGTAAATTGTCCAGAACTTTGACCTGCTACTTCTGTTCTAATCCTCATGTTTTCCTGTAGTTGTGCCAGAGGACTGAGGTATTCCAGGGCCCTGCCTGCTTTAACTTCCTCCAGTTTATGTTCAATTTGACCCATTCTCTCCTTGTAAAGCCTGTAATAAGTAGATGTCTTAATAAAGCTCATGGCGTCATGCCCAAAGCAGCTATCATTAAAGATATCTTATACATGTGAGAAACTTTGTTAGTAACAACTTACCTCTTTCCATATTTAAGGACATGCTAAAAATTGGTATATGTTTTAAAGAAAAGAGGATTAATCTTTTTTTTTCATATACCAGCCTCGATTACATCATACATGTACATCTATGACATCACTGAATCAAGAAATGATTGTTTAATTTTAAGAAATAAGTAATTTCTTATAATCTGTTCTGCTGTTTTAGTCCAGAGACAACAGAAAACGCTTAAGAAGAATACAATGTTTACAATGGCAATGGTTCAAAATATATTCTAGAAAACTTACACTTCTTTTAAATCTGAGAACTGTTTTTCTAGGTCTGCCATATCATCTAGGCATTCTGTTTTTCTTCTTTCACATTCTTCTTCATCAAGTTCTGTAATATTTATTTAAAAATGCAATGAAGAATTAACGTTTAAATTGTAGGAATGCTTGTTCATGCACATGATGTATACTGCTAACAGTTTAAAATAGGATAAGGCCTAGATATATAAATAAAGTTTCTCAAATAACTCTAAATCGTATGAGCCAATCTTGAAATTTTTTTCTGTTATATTGAATACTTTTTGTATGTTAAAAATTCTAATTTCACAATTAAAAAACATAATCTTTGTCTCTTCTGTCTTCCAAGAAAAAAATCCTTTCAAGTCAGTGAAGTCCTCAGGAAAAATGGCACCAAAAGTTGCCATTTTGAGGAAAAGAAGTGAATATTGCTTCTCTTAAGAATATTTTTATAGACAAATGATAGACAAATTTCACATTCCTAAGAGTTATCTCCCGTATCGGCGTAACGCTTATTTTCCCCACTTTGTCCTTTGTAAGCTACCTGTTAATATTTTAAATTTTCAAACGAAATCGGGCAATTTCGACCTGTACCTGTACTGCCATAGTATGAGGCAACATGAAAAACATAATAAACATATTGATACAGATTTTATTTCTAAAATACTGACCCATAAAGTTGGTAAGGTTATAGAGGGAAAACAGTGCCTTACGCCGGCTGACCCCGGTTTGACCCCACAAATGGGAATAACTTTTGTAAATGTGAAAGTCGTCTACTGCCACAGTAAAATAAACAGTGGGGGTTTAAAATAATGATTTCCTACTTTTTTTAATCGAATAGGAAACCCACTATTCATATTTATCAAGAAAGTTTGTCTATTTTCATTCATTATTTTTATTTTTTACTATCACAGAACATATTAACAGTACTGATATTCCAGAATGGTGCAAACTGGAATCGGGTTCGAATTATGGATGTTTCGGGACCGCGATGTTTCGGGACCTGACAATACGTTTCGGGACTTGGGTTAACACGTTTCGGGACTTGGGCTAACACGTTTCGGGACTTCTATATATTTTGTTAAGGAAATGAAATAAAACTTGTTTACTTGTGTTTTTATGTTTATACATGTATAATTTCTCAGTTTTATACACAATTCTTATAGTTTTTATTAGTTTTAAAGTTTGCATGCGGCATGGAGCACGCATGCCGAGAAAATCAAACGCCCGCGATGTTTGTCTCTTTCATTTCTTATTATAGCATTTGATATACTTGATATATTACGTTTATAAAGTATTTGGTTAACCAAAATTTAATTCAAAAAATATATTTTAGAATTATGTATTGATTTATTTATAGTGTTTGATACGAGACAGAGTTTGTAGAATTAAAGCCGGGACACAATCGCAACTGCTGTGTGAAGATCACGGACGTGTTTTTCTTTCTAAGACTTTCTTTCTCTCCATTTCAATAATAATTTTAGATGTTTGATTTCATAATATTTGTTTACAGAATTTACAAAGGCACAAGCTAGCACATGTGCAGTAAAAACTTTACGTTTTACGGGTAGTTGTCTTTGAATTCATGTTTACTGTGTATACACAGACTACAAATCTCAATGAAACTAAATTATCGATCTTCGTATATACCCGACCAGTGCGTAATATTATGTGGTGTTACATAATTAGGTACATCACACACTGTAAATGATACTGTAAATAAATACTAAATGTTATTTAATTTGCAAATATTAAATTTTTCATGTTACATGTACGTTGTAAAAGTGTTTTAAAGATATTCCAGATTTAAAAAAAAATGACTACGTTAACAGGTCAACTTAAATTTTATTTTTTATGAAATTTCCACCTAGCCACATTAAATAGATAAAGCTATGAAATTTAAAATATTTTTAAAGACATTATTTGAAACGATACCAAATGAAATCATGTTGTTTATACCATTTAATGTTCTTTTTAAAAGTATCACGGTATTTTTGAAAAATCTACATTTAGGGAAAATGTTCTTGCAAAATTTGTAAAATATGTTTATTTACAATGTTTTGGAAACTTTAAAAATGTTTTCGTAACATTTCCAGGGATTCCAATACTATGCTAAAACTTTCTGAAAAAATATTTGAAACCGTTTGGGAAAAAAATAGACAAAATCACGATCAAAACATTTTGAAAACCTTTATATTTTGTTGAACTTTTGAGATGGGAAAATTATTACTGTTTTATAAATATTGTTTGATCTGGAATTATTTCATTTACCAATAAACAAACGATATTTTTTTTGCATAGTTTTAGATTTTTAATTTCTTAAAAAAATTTCATAAGAAACCACATAATCTTTTCAGTCCCCATTACCGGCGGCGTCTTTATACATGTACGTAACACTTCCCTATGGGATATGTGTACCTGGTCCTAGTTGTTGTTTTAACAATTAATACTGACATATTTTTAAAGATATATTCGAAGGTAGCTGGAGATCACTTGAATATTTTTAAAATATATATCATCAACCTGAGAAGCTTAAAGTTTGCCCTCCCCCCTTACCACACACTCAAGAAAAAATAACTAATAAAAAAAATTTGATAAGATTTTTAGAAATAAAAATGAATTTTGTAAAGATTTATTCTTATTCGTCTGTTATAGAAAAAAACACATCAAAGTATATCTTTATGAAAATTTTTATTATAAATGTTAAAATTCGGATTTAGCTTGAAATATTAAAATATTACGTATATGTGTACTTAGAATAATATGCTATATCACCATAATAAAATAATTTGTTGAGATCCCGAAAAAAAATTAACCCAAGTCCCGAATCGTCTTTACCCAAGTCCCGAACCGTCTTGTCGCTAGTCCCGAAACGTCGTATTAGTCAGGTCCCGAAACGTCGTGGTACCGAAACATCTTGCACCCAAAAAAAATAACCCAAGTCCCGAATCGTCTTTACCCAAGTCCCGAACCGTCTTGTCGCTAGTCCCGAAACGTCGTATTAGTCAGGTCCCGAAACGTCGTGGTCCCGAAACATCGTGCACCCTCGGGTTCGACATCACAGTTATGCTGAGAAAATTCGAAATAAGAGCTCTCATTTCTACTAATCGCACTTTAAAAATAATAAAATGCGTAAATTTCTTCTCCTGAATAACTATAACAATCTACAGACATGCTATATCAATTAATTCAATGATTCATGGAATGTCTAGAAGGGATTCCCCGTCTTCCTCTACAAATTTTACCTGAACCATCTTCTTCCTCTGAACCCATTTCTGAGTCATCATCAGAACTGTTGTTGCTTCCCGGGGTTTCTTGCTCCATTTCTTCTTCCTCTGTTTCCGTTTTTCCGTTCTCCAAGACAGGCATTTTCATCATATCGTATCAAAATATTCACCTCATTTCCCAAACATTCAAAGTGCGCGTAGCGGAAGTCTGTGTCGGAATTAATGGCAATGCGCATGTGTATTGGAAAACCACACTGTTTCTATTTTTACATCATAGATACAACATAGGCGGATCAGAATACTTTCAACATAAATAAAATGTATTTTCTTCACTCCCATAAAGAACCAGGCAAAATTTATCACAATGATGGGACCGGTACAAACAGGCATGGGACAATGAGTTTTTTCATCGCAGAAAACCATGGGACAAAAACATTTTTTTCAGAGATACACTACTTAAGGCTGTTCAAAGTTAATTCTACGTTTAACATCACATCCAAAGTTCGAAACCTGCGAGGGAGGGAGGAAAAAAAATAAACAAACAATTTTTTTTAAACAATTGTGAATTTATTCAAATTAACCTATTCAGTACATTAAAAAAACATTATAATTGAGTAATAAGAGTATTGGATATCATGACAGCTAAGTCTAATTTCTCAATTCTCATGTAAATGGTTTGAGTCCTTTTTGTAAGCAAACAATATAGAATAAATTTGCAGGAGAGTGGCTTTTAACTAGGCCTCGTTGTTATTCTGGTTCGTCCGTCTGTCACACCATGTTGTTTTTAAATTAATTATCAAAATTAATTTTAAGTATTATAGCCATTGAAGTAATCTTTTTAGAATATATTGTTATATTCAGCCTGCGTAGGAGGATATTGGGTTGAAAAACCGACATGAATGGGAAGGGGGGGATTGAAAGGCAGTAGCCTAATTTTATAACAAAAAATTAAAAAAAAATATACCCCTTTGCCGCGGGGGGGGGGGGGGGGGTGTTGTTGTTGTTGTTATGTTACTCCTACTTCTAATCTCAGCGAGATGTCGTATAGGGACTAAAATTTTGTCTGGTGTCCCTACGACCATGTGCAGACAAAATTTTTAGTCCCTACAACATCTCGCTGAGATTCCCCTTAATTTTCGAAAATATGGTTTTGGTGGTGCTTTTTAAATTTGTAAGAAGAGTTCAGTGACCCATTTTTTTTTGTAGAAAAATATTTTATATCCACATTTAATCTTATTGGACATCTATCTAATCTACACTACTATTCATTTTCCCAAAGATGACGTGATTACTTCCTTTTTTTAAAATGTAAGAAAAGTTCATAACACTTTTTTTTTTTTTTTTTTTTTTTACAGAACACCAGTTTTTATTTTATCAGGAAACTGTCATTTTTCCAACCCCCATTTAGCCCCCCCCCCGGTGAAAATGAAAATTCCGAAACCTTAATGCATGTATACAGGACTCTAGCAATCATTTTTCAAAAGATAATTTGGCTATTGCTTAAAATTTAAGACGTGTTCCCCGGTCTTGGAACTAAGTTTTTTTTTTGTAGAAAAAGAGAATAAGTGCACATTTACATGTATTTAAGTTGTATGCCTTATATAACTGAATGAAATTTAGAGATTTTCATAGAGTATTTGTTACATGGTGCTTTTGAGCACTTCGTATTAATAAATTATTTTTGACCCGACACATATTTTAGGTTTTTCATAGCAAAATTTGGACACTGTCATTTTTTCTGTAATATTGAAGGGTACCCAGGTCTTATCCACAGCTCCTCCTATAGCACAGAATAAAATTTTAATGATACTTTCACAGATTCTTTATTACATAATGCCATTATGACCTCCCATTTTATCAGTTTTGATTTGACACTTATTACGGGTCTCCCAGAGCAAAACATGGACTTCGCCATTAAAATCATTTGGGAGTAGGGGTATCATTAGTGAGCTCATTGCTCACAGTACCTCGAGTTAACATCGATCATTCTCTCATTGCTTTATTTAGGCTAGGATTTTAGCAAATTTAAACAAATAAATTTACACATGGTTTGTGCCTTATGAGTTTGTATCTTTCAGTCATTAAATCATATGATAAGACAATTGCTGTAGTCAATACGATGATTTAGTCACCTTCATAGTACAAGATCTCCTCTTTCAGGATCGTTGAATATTGTATTTCTCAGATGGCTAGATCGCCGTCACATAACGACTTACGTATTGACCTAAAACAGCAATTATTATATAAATATTGCATGTAGTTGAGTGTAACATTGTACAATAGCTAATAAGACCCAAAGAAAATAAAAATTTTTTCCATTATTTGAGGATTATTGAAAATATACTCTGATAATTTGGTTTAGATTATTGGAGAGACTAACCGTGGGTCGATTTTGCGCGGGAAAACACCGCTGCCAAGCTGTCACACCTCTGATCAATGAATCTGAACACATGGTATAATAATATTGTGTCTTTGTTTATTGAATAAGTCGATTTACAAAACTTTTCTAAGGAAACCTAGCTGACGATGTTCGCCACGTCAATGATACGGACACGTTGCAACAATGACGAAGAAATTTTTTTTACGTAGCCTTCATACTTAATAACAAACCTAGTATTTCATTACAATTGTCCAGCAATGCCTACCAGAACTGGTACTGAGATAATTCTATGTATCCTCACAACTCAGATTATTGTCTGCTTAATTCATGGAATCAAAGGGTAAGAATTTAGAGACTTATATCGTATTAAACTAGATACGTGTATATATATTTAAATATCTATACTGTATTCTCATTCATTATGTGGCAAGCAAGTTTTGACCATTAAAAAATAACATGGAAATTCTGTATATACATATTCTTAGTAATAAAGGAATGCCTTTACTAAGCTTGAATTTATATCAATATGAAATAAATAATGGTACGCATTTTTATGTACAACAATTCATTTTCGATGAAATTTTGAATATAACACATAAAAGAATTATGTAATCTTTATTTTCACTTGTAATCATTCTTTAAATTTAAAACATAAAATAATTCTTTCGTCTATATACTTTTAATTTTGCCGATTTTGATCAATGAATTTAGAATATTTTAATTCATTTTTAGCAGTTTATCCTATTTTGCGTTTAGAAGAATTTTGATGTACATATTTTGTGCCATATTTTACAGAAATGCAATAGAAGCAGAAAAGTGTGACATCAGTAAATGGTATACCAAAATGTCTTCTGAAGGATTGTTTGATAGCTCAATGAATACCCAGCAGCAAAAATTACACAACACAATTCAGAAACTAGTTGTCCACGGTAAAAATAAACGTAACGTAAAACTTGTCGACTGTAAAATCTTAGAAATGTACGAAAATGAAATGAAGAAAGGGAAAGTCAAAGCTACCAATTCAAAATCTACAACAGAAACTTTAAAGGCAGCTGACAATTTAACAATTATAAAAAGCACAGAAAATACTCTATCACATAAGAATGACATAACCAAGATAGAGAATCCACGAAATGAGAACATTGCAGAACTCGAATCTCAGGAGGAAGCAGCCGAAAGAATATTCAGGGAAAGAGACAGAGAAAGCGAAGTGTTTGCAGACGATAGTGAGATTGATGAAACAGAACTAGATGAAATAATAGATGAAAGTAACAGTGATGGGGAATTTGATGACTCAGAAAAGCACAACGATAACCAAGCACATAAGTCCTGGTTAGATGACAAGAATCAAAATTCATTGGTGCAGAAAGAAATTCTCAGTCAAGAGCAAAACACGCATGACTTTGAAACAATCGAGACAGAATCAAATGGAACAAGTAACTCAAAAGAAATTTTACAAGAAAGAAATGCTAAAGACATATTTAAGTATATGGAAACCGGAGGAAAGACATGTCGAAGGTATACATGGAAATTACAAAAATACATGATTTTGAAAATATCCCCAAAAGAAAAAGTGGATTCAACAACCAAGGAAATTTTTGGATACAATTGTAAAATATCATATGCACTCTCGCCCTCGTACTGCTTACTACAAGTAAAAAACACAGCAATGTTTAATATGACACAACATATGTCAGACAAGCTGGAGAAAGGTACAGCTTCCTTAACAGATAATTTGCTTACTCCAAATAATCTAGGCAGTATAAATAAAAACACCAATAAAATCTTTGAAGCAGGAAAGGAGATGGAAAATTTAGTCGATCCCAATGAATTTTCTGAAGAGCAGGAAGGAATGCTAATAGATGGAAAATTTAACGAGGAAATTGACGACATTTCTTACACTGCTTATTCTGAAGATATGCTCATGTCTTATAACAATAAAGATTTACCAAATGATGCTGTACAAAGATCTTCGAATGAAGAAAACAACAATGAATATAAATCGCAGCAAACGTTTGACAGAAAGGTTTTGGAAGACATGTTGTCTTTGAAAACGGAAGAGTATACAAAGAAAATAAATGTTCTGGAATTAAATATAATAAAGCTTGAAAATCAGATGTTAATGGAAAAACTGAACAAAGAAAATCATTCCAGTACCATAGCGAGACTAGAGAATAGCATTCTTAGGTTAGAGAACGAGCTGTTAAGAATGAAACAAAGCTTCCATCATATGAAAATTGAAAATGACGAAATGAAGAGAACTCAACGAAAATACTTAGAACTAGGACACAGTTCTGAAAGTTACTCTTTACAAAAGCTTAATCACGACCAACTTCTGTCAGAACAACAGCAAACAATTATGAAACTGTCAGAGAAGTTACAAAACCAATCAAACTTGATAGATAATTTAAAGAATCGGTCCGAGGGTCTTGATGACCAAAACAGAATATTGTATGCAATGGTCATGAACCAAACTGTATTGATGTCACAAATTATGGCAAAAGTACAATCTCTTACTGAACAAACTCTACAACAACGTGAAACAGCAGAGAAAATGAAGCAAAAGTTAGAAAGTGGTTTAGAAGACGTCAGAGAATTAAAAAATAGCCAGGCAAATCAGGGACTGGTTGATCCAGCCACAAACTCAAAGGAATCATATCTTGATGATCTCTCAAACCAACTGCTACAGCAACTAGACGATCTAGTGTCAGATAAAAAACTAGAAAGTGGTGAAATAATTGAACAATCGTCTTTTGTTGGACAACTAAAAGACCAAGACGATGAAATCGATGAACAGTTAAAGGAGTATTTACATTACACCTCAATCACATCATCTGTCAAACTTCAGGAATGGTGTGACTCTAGTGCACATTGTTTTAAGGGCTTTATTATTATATCCGAGTGTGCACCGTACTCACCTTTTATTTTTGCTAATTGTGAATCAGAAAGCCTGATGTCATACTCTGAATCTGACAATGAACCAGAAAGTTTAGAAATCATTCCAAGAAGTGAAGAAAAGGAATCAAACAAAACAAAAGATTCTGAAACCTCAAAAAACGTACAGCCGCCTGATCCTGATGATAGGACGAGTGTTCAAAAGGAAGACAAAAATATCCTCCATGTTGATCGATACAATGAAACCAGTGAAGAGGAGGTTTTAAAGGCTATGGAAAAGACCATCGAAGAACTTGAACTTAAACAATCTTTAACAACAAAAAATGTGCAAAACGAAGACAAAGATATGATAAAAGAACAAAAAAGTATGAATACATGGGAATCTGATTTCGGTAAAGGAAGCGAAGACAATATCAATAAAATTAAAAGCGAAGTACACCCAAATTCTGTCGCAAAACATATGAAAAAAGATACAAATCGTAGAAACGAAAGTGATATCAGCGGCTCACATACGAACGAAAAATATATAGATGATTCTGGTGATAAAGCCAAATTACAAGAATTACAGAAGACGAAAAATAAAGATAGCAGTAATGAGAGTACGAATTTAGAAAATAGAGAACATAAAACTGAAATAGCAAAAGGAAAAAACACATCAGTAAAGTATGTTGCAGATGGACAAAGTGACCCAAAAGGTTCGTATCAAATTATGATACTAAGTTTAATCAGATTATGTATATTCATCAATGTAACTTGTCTTTATCTTTCTGTATTTTAAGCTCACCTGAGCCAAAGGCTCAAGTGAGCTTTTCTGATCAAAAGAATCTGGGGGGATTAGGCGAGTCATATGCCCACGCAAGGACAGGTAAAATATCGAATTTAAAAATTCTAACTAATTCCACTTTTTGTTAAATTTGAGAGTTATTTATAATCCTCTGCATACAGTTAAGATAAAACCAGAATCAAATGACTTAGAAATTGATTGTAATTAACCCACCAAAATGGTAAAACGCTTTAGTAACCGTAAAAATGATAGAAATTGAGTGTTAAAACTGTGTTTTTTTTATATAGAGTGGGTCTGCATACCATTTTTTTGTAAACAAATATTGAAAGGGTATGGAAAGATGTATCCTTTACCATTTTCAAAAAAATGGTACGAAGACCCACTCCATATAAAAAAGTTAGTTTTCCTACTTCAATTTCGGAACATATTCTCAAAAACTCCAAGTCCAATTGTGTGCTTGCTATACATATAGAACTGTTTGTTATTTAAAGGGAAATGTATATACGACTGCGTGGCTCAGTGGTCATAGCGGCGGTGTTAAAGCCCCCAGGTATTTGTCGCGAGTGTTCGAATCACGCTTTTTTTTGAAGTTCAGGTTGAAGTTTATAGATAAATATATTTTTACACTAAAAACAAAGTGAAAAAATAAGATAATAAATTTATTTACGGTCAATTAATATATTTCCTAAAATAAACAAGTTTTCAAGATATGTATAACATTTTGAATGCATTCAGTCAAGACTACATTGCACAATCGAAATGTAAACAATCATGGGTAGACCAGCACGGTATGGCTGTTCCGTATGCAAAAACAGTGAAAAGGAAAGGTAAAGCGTACCATCTCCCCACCCCTGAAAACATATTCAATAGAACAATTAACACGCAGTATGAAAAGCATCACATGTTAAAAATACTGTAACGATAACAGCAAGGTTTAAAAATGTAGATATTGTCATTAGAACAGTGCTGTACAAAGTTTAAATGTTTAGGTAAATCGTACGACTATTCCGATATGCTTACAGAGCGACAAAATTCGTGTGGGCATATGACTCGCCTAATCCCCCCAGATTCTTCGTCCGTTGTCTGTAGTTGTCTTTGTCGTCTTTAACTTTTCACATTTTCGACTTCTTCTCAAGAACCACAGGCCAATTTCAACTAAACCTGGCACAAAGTATCCATAGGTGAAGGGAATTCAAGTTAGTTCAAATGATGGACCACGCCATTATTTAAGGGGGATGTACAAGCCAATTGGGTCTAGTCTGGTGTAAAATAAGAAATACCAAGAATGCGCTTTATACTCTACTAAACTAAACCAAAGTTACTCAAAGTGCTAATGCACTAACTACCTACTGTTAGAGACCAAAATTAGTAAACAATTAAGTTTATTTTGTTTTAATTAGGAGGAAATTAATCGTGTTAGAACTGCGCAGCTACAGCATTAACGAGATGATAAATGCATTGAAAATGGTGTTAGTTTGATTCATTGATAATATGGCTACAACCATTTGTTTCGCTTTTTTCTTGTCATTTTCCATAATTCTGGAAAATTTGATTTTTCATATGGGTGTCTTCCTGGGGCAATATGTTTATTTCGTCCGCCATTGCTCTGTCAAACAGAGTTCGAATAACATTGATTTTAGAATAAATGCGACCATAATAACATCAAGACAAGAAATTACCCTGTAATAATCATTAGGTTATATTACTTACCACTTTTATTTGTTGCATCGCATCATCTGATTAATGAAAAACGCGATTTTAACCCCACTCCAGCAAATCGGGAAAAACTGTTCTGTTTACAGTTCGAGTTTCCTCGTTAAAATTATTCCACTGAGCACGTGGTTGGCATGTGCATATATCTGCTGTGGATATATCCGTTTATTACCATGATTATATTTAATTTTTCATGGGACAAGTCTTGATAATTTGTTGATTTCTTTAAAACTCAAGAAAAAAGATAAAAATGTCCTAAACATATGTGTTTACGGCGGGTCTTTTTTCTGTGGCGATAGAAGTTATTTTCAAATGGGGCACTGCAAGGAGGATGCTTAGCATATAATTTGAAAATGTTTAACAATATGCGGTGCATGAAAAACAAATTGTAATTACATGTCTTACATTCTAAAATTGGTACATATGTATATTTTGGCTAGAAGTTAGATAGAAAAATAGGCAGTTATAGGATTTCCTTCAGGCACCTCACATAAATAGCTAGATTGTTTGCAATGACCAACACATTGTATGGAGTAATGTTTGGACATAAAAACGCATCATGTCTTATTATGTTGACAACGTTGTAAGCTCTCGCTCAATGCATACGAAGCTTGATAAAATATATTGAGTTGTTTCTTCGAAATTTAGAAGCGAGTACAACGTTTGCAAAGAAAGGTCCATTGCATATGCTATGTCTATCATCGCAAAAAAAAAGTGAGAGGCTCCCCCCCCCCCCCCGAAAATCCTATGTTTGTTTTTCAAAACAGTGCAAAAGATTAAAAAATTTTGCATTACTAAGTACGTGATGGAATATGTACTAACCTTATAAGACCACTTGTTATAAAAATATTTGGTTGCCCCCTCTCCCGATCTACTGCCTGGAATTGGCCCGACTCATTTTTTTTACATCCCATTACACGATATTTTTTCTTTTTCTTCCGTCAACAATTATGTTTAAATTTAAAGGAATTTCTTTCTCACCTATAAATACGGACCCAATATTTTTTCCCTGAGTTGGGAGGACCACCAAACGTCATTTTAAAGATGGTATAAAATATTTAATTATGTTGATTTTTTTCTTTACTTTGTAAAATTTTAATTTTGACAATATGGGCAAATAGAATTTTCGTCACAAGTACCTGCATGACGTCATTTTCAGATTGTGACATCACAAACAAGGAGCAAAACTTCAGCATATGCTATTTATAGAACTTGTGTTTGGCTATGTTTCTAATCTGAATTGTGGTTTTGTAGATATAGAGATAGTTCGAACTTTTTGATCACCCCTGGTACTAGTAGGTATTAAAACAAGGTCATTCATATCGATTATAATGTGTCTTATTTCTCTGTGTTTCATTGGTGATAATTAAAATTTTGATAGATAATATAAGTTATCTATGGCAAACTTACAAACTCTTAATTTTTAACTTTGATGATGCTCATTTTTCCTTACCTGGAATCAAAGAGTTTAAGATTTTTTTATATCAATACGTACACTATTTAACAACTGTTCGATAATAATACTAAATAAATTACTTCAAGCCACACTATAACACCTTTCCTCTTTTAAAAGTGTTCATATTATTTGAAATATTTTGCAACTGTAATTCTCTTCTACATTTAAAGATTGTTATGTCCCTCCATATTAAGAAGAGGTTTGGAAAACAAAATTCTGTGCTAAAAATAGACCACGTGCTGCTATCCATGAACTACTTTCATGGTTCTTTGCACTCTTTTTGGAGACAACGGTACCTTGTTTTGAACTTGAAATTATCATTTAAAAGTGCAAAATTTAGACATTTTCTCAACAAATGGTTGTAGAGAGAACATTAATGCACAGTTTGCATATTTTTTTGGATTTTTTAAGGCTCTGCTGAATTCTGTAGCTGCGCAGTTCTAAAGAGCACATCAAAAGCATTTTTCTGCAAAAGTATAGATTATATATACACAACATGCATTCAGTTATGAATATTTATGTATCTTTATCATTAGGACTTAAAATTTGATCAAAATATAATGTATTTTAGCCATTTGAAGAAATGTTTACATTTCGTTTTCACTGCACTAAAGGTGGCCGTACATCCCCCTTAAGGGGATATAATTGAGCAATAGTGAAAATTTGATGGCATGTTTTAAAAATCTTCTTCTAAAGAATAACTGTGCCAAGAAAGTTAGGATCATGACACTTATAGGGAAGCATCCTCAGGTAGTGTAGATCAAGTTTGTTCAAATCATGACCCCCGGGGTAAGGACGGGGCCACGATGGCCGATCAAAGTCTACATAGAAATATATAGGAAAATTCTTTTAAAATCTTCTTCTCAAGAACCACTGTGCCAGGAAAGATGAAACATAGAAATATATAGGAAAATTCTTTTAAAATCTTCTTCTCAAGAACCACTGTGCCAGGAAAGATGAAACTTATAGGGAAGCATCCTCAGGTAGTGTAGATTTAGATTTATTCAAGACCATATTCATGACCCCTGGGGGTAGGGCGGGGCCACAACGTGGAATCCAAGTTTTACATAGAAACATGTAGAAAAAATTTTCTTTTCAAGAATAGCAAAGCCATGATTAGTCCTATTCATATGGAAGCATTCTCAGGTAGTGTAGATTCAATTTTGTTCAAGTCATGACCCCTGGGGGTAGGGTGTGGCCACAATATAAGTTCAAATGTAAAGGGCAATAAATCCACAGGTAGTCAAAGAAATATGCAAGCATCCTTAGTTAGTGTAGATTCAAGTTTGTTCAAATCATACCCTCTCCGTTTTAAGGATTGGTTGGGACCACTATTGGGTTTAAACTTTTCAATAATAAACTGATTTCTGCTTATTTCCTAGCCACATTGCTCAGGTGAGCGATGTGGCCCATGGGCCTCTTGTTTCAACTTCTTTTTACAGATTGTTACGATTACTTTCTCAAAGGAAACATGAGAAATGGTGTCTACAAGGTCCTACCTGATGGTACCAACAGACTAATTCAAGTGTATTGCGACATGAAGAAGGGTGGATGGACGTTGATTCAGAAGCGACAGGACGGCACAACCAATTTCTATAGGGACTGGGAGGATTACAGAGAGGGATTCGGAGGTACATCTTACATCCATTGTCATTATAAAAATCTCATTACAAAGTAAACAGATGTCTTAGGGATGAGAAAGTAGATATCAACCATTTGAATAGTCGACAAGGGGAGAAAGGGGGGGGGGGGCTTACTCTTAGGCACCTGATACCACCTCTGGTTTTCCATGTCTTTGCCTGTTCACCGTTGGTTTTATCCATGATTTTGCCTGTTCACGATTGGTTTTATCCATGTCTTTGCCTGTTCACGATTGGATTTGCCCATGTCTTTGCCTGTTCACTATTTGATATGTCCATGTCTTTGCCTGTTCACGATTGGTTTTGTCCATGTGTGTTCACGATTGGTTTTATCCATGTCTTTGCCTGTTCACTATTTTATGAGATTGAACATTGTTTGTTATCATCACCTTTTACATACTAGTACTTGTAAGCCAAAGGAAAATTGGGTGTATATAAAAGTATCAATGATGTCTGTCAATTCCATGCTTTATTATTATTTTTTTTACATTATATTATGAAGATATTTTCAAATTGCGAAGTAATATTACTCTAACATAGCAATTTGTATTTCGCATTTCAAACTATTCAGACCATAGAGATAATTAAAGTAGTTAATTTGTTTAACTTTTCGTATATTATTTTGTAGGAGTATATGGAGAACATTGGCTCGGAAACAACGTGATACACCGACTGACAAATCAGGATCACTACACACTTAGAATTGAGATGACGGATTGGGATAAAAACCATAAATACGCGGAATATAGCACGTTTGTAGTTGATGATGAAGACGAAGGGTACAAATTGCATATCGGATGTTATGTGGGGGACGCCGGTGATGGAATGATTAAACATAACAATAAAAAATTCTCCACACGAGATGTTGACAATGATCAAGTTGTGAAGGAATTTGGTGGAAGTTGCGCAAAGAGATTCCACGCAGCATGGTGGTTTTATAAGTGCTATCAGAGCAATTTAAATGGAAAATATTATAGAAATGGGAAAATTGACGATAAAAAATATGATGGTGTAACATGGAAACCCTGGACTGGCACTAACTATTCACTTAAACACGTGGAGATGAAAATAAAGCCGAATTTAGAGCGCAAAGTGACATAAATATCAGAAAGTATTAGCGCATTAAATGAAAGAACTAACCACAATGCATAACACATTTAACAGCTCTTTAATTATATATCAAAGTTTTATGGAGTGTTCAAGTTATTAACCGAACAAAAATTTCTGAAGGATGATAAGCTATCAAAAATGAAGCATTCTTGCAAATTCTACGAAATATTATTAGGTATTAACAAATTACTGGTCGAAAAAAGAACACGATATTCTCATGCACATTTATAAAGGACTGACGTTTATCCTGGATCTGCGCATGTGCGCGGGAAAAGCATCGCGAGAATCATCAGGTCGAGGAAAATATTTTTTGTGACGTCTGTTCAGTGAGGAACCAATATAACTGACAAATCGACCAATCAGCTCAATGAGTTGCATTTAATGCATTTATGGGTTACTACTTAAAATACTACATGTTTTTTTTTGTCCCCCGCTTGAAAAGTGGGGAATATTAATTTGGGTCTGTCCGTCCGTCCGTCCGTCCGTCCGTCTTTCTGTCTGTCTGTAACGCTTTCGTTTCCACACGATATCTCAAGAACCCTTTGAGCTTTTGCAATGAAATTTAGCATAGCAACTCCCTGTGGCCCAAGGAAGACCCCTATTGATTTTGAGGTCAAAAGGTCAAAGGTCAAGGTCATAAATAAGCAAATTCTATCTGTTATAACACTTTCGTTTCCACACGATATCTCCAGAACCATTTGAGCTATTGATATGACATTTAATATAACAACTCCCTGTGGCCTAGGGAAGACCCCTATTGATTTTGAGGTCAAAAGGTCAAAGTTCAAGGTCGTAAATTTAAACATTCTGTCTGTGTTTAACACTATCATTTCCGGGTGATATTTCAAGAAGATGTTGAGCTTATGTAATGTAATTTTATACAAAACTCCCTAGGACCTCTCTCACCCCTCTCAAAGTGCCCCGCCCCGTTTGTTTTACTAGTATTTATCGTATTACCTGTCGCTATTTTTAGCACAGGGGCATGCGGAGAGTTATTGCGTATAAAACAGGTTTTCGGCGGACTTTATGTTCTTATTACATCTATTAGAACTGTTTAATAAAGGCTAAATAAATCAAACTCCATGAATTGTGTTAAATTTTGATAATACCGAACATGAATGTACATGTATGTGACTTCACTTCTGCATATACTTCATTACATTAACAGCGATTCCGTGGTCCAGTGGTATGTCTCCCGCTTCATATGTGTGAGGCCCCGGGATCGAATCTCTGATGGACCTTTTTTTTTTTACCTTTTTTTTTAATGATAGTATTCAGCATGTGAAAAGAATAATTTATGAGGTTACAAAATCATCATTACAGTGTGATAAATATTCAATATAAAAAGAATCTTCTATGTCTACACATAATAAAGAATAAACAATCGAATCTTTATACGCATATTGACATACATGTATTTTATTTGCTTCAGTATACATGTATACATTTAATAATTCTACAAATTCAGTCAGGGGGATCCGACTTTTTCCCTAAGCGGGGGACACGAATTCTCTGAATTAGCTTGTTTTTTTTCGAAAAGGCTAGTTTTTTAAATCGCTCTCGGAAAGACTTGGTGCATTTTCCCAAGCATTTACATGCTTAATGCATTATGTAAATTATTATCTACTAACCCCATGCTCATATTTGCATACAGATGATTAACAATGATAAAAAATAAAGTTTTCCCTGCTCCATTGTACAGGTCCGTTTGTTTAGGGTTTCCCCGAGCTGTACTGCTAGTGAAAAGACAATTGCACGTGATTATTTCTCGGTACAGAAAGCAACCAATTCTGAGGTGTGCTCACGTATTGACAATCCCTAACTCACGTGTTTGTAGTAAAAACGTTGTAGACCATCATGCTTTTAGGTTCATTCACGAGATTGGACCATCGTTTGTTGTGAGCACGCGAGACCACGTGATTATGAATATTTCAATAAGAGCCGTTTATTATCCGACTCGGAGAGAAAATAATTTTTACCAAAAAATTGTAACAGGGTGAATAAATTAATATTATAATAAATACTTTATAATTTATTCATTAATAATTTGTGACCTAATATACTAATCATTTCATTACCATCATCATCATTTTCATCTATTATACAGCATAGTGAATTACAGTACTCTGGAATTTACTATGTGTTCAGTCATTCATAAAGTCGTTCATTGATATTCATGGGGTTGAATGCTCATTGGTTAGTTTGAGAGTGTGAAAGGTCAAAGGTGTCTGTGTCAGAATGGGTGAGGTTTGAAGGTGTATGATTGGTTGATATTTCAGTGTGAGAAGTGTGTGAGTGGTTTTACTAGTTCGGTACCCAATACGCATGCTTGGCGCCAAACACCCTTAATAACTCACTCCACCCTATGACAGTCAGGAGAAAGGAAGAGTATATCTCCTCTCCAGATATATAGTCTTTCATTTTATAATGAAGACAAATTAAACCTGTCTATTCGGTAAGAATTAATTTACCACCGTTGCTCTGATTATATTAAATACCCTATCTATTAATTATCTAATTAAAGAGAACAGTTTAAATAATCTAAAAGAATTAAATGTGTGAGTGTTAGCTAGTGTATGAGTGTATTCATTTATTTTACAGGTCACCTTCTATTACTTGTTATTCTTCTTATAATATTCATCAAAGTAACTGAAATACAGATATACAAATGAACCCACAGCAGCTGTTCTGTTATTTATATGAAGTAACAACTATAGTGCAGCTGTGACATAATATTTCATAACTTTTAAAAGTGATGGAGTGGAATTGTCTTATTTGCAGAAAGTATTTTACTTATATAGCTTGATGATATAAGACATATATTTATTTCTTTTACTTTAAGATTTGACGCGACCATAGGAACAATATGAGTTTACTTGGTGGAGCTCATACAGAGAACGATAATTCATGACACGAGTTAAAATATCCTAATACATGAATATTTATGCCTCATAAAGGAAAATTTAGATTGAGTAAGTAAAGATTTTTTTTTGTAAAAACAATCTAGCTTGCTGTGCATACAAATACTCTGAAGTTGTAAAAAGATGCTTGGGTTTCTCTTTGCCAATATCAGTGTAGTCTTTGGAGACCAGGTTTCCAACAATCTGGAATTTCCACGGGTGCCACTTGCAACCCGTAATTAGCAGACATACATTTGTATTAACATGAAGTAAGAATTGTTATTTCCAACACTGAATTAATTATTGAATTGATAATAGTTATTTCCATTCATAAGTTGACATGATATATCACAGCGAGCTTCAAATTAAAGGTTTCACAGAGTCTTATACATCTATTTCGCATTTAGATATTTTTAACTTTTCAATCGTTAAGCCTACCTTAATTATATATGTAAATGCAGCAATATACCCTTTCCACTTGTGTACAGACTTCATATCTCTCAATTGATCAGATACTTAAAAGCACGCTCCAGATACGTATATACAATTTCTAAAACAAGACAAGTTATTGACAAACAAGTTGACGAAACAAGACTACTAGTCTCGTTTAAAGTCAATTTGTAAGTTTTCAGGGTCGATACAAAGACTTAATCAGCAAATACAATCATCTTTAGGTCAAATGCTGAATGACGTTTTTCATACTTAGTGTTAGGTCATTATTTACCTACTAAAATTTTGTCGACAGATTTTCCCGTTATTTCCCGATCATGAAAAGGAACAGATGATGGGTGTGACCGGTCGGTAGGGTATGCTCACTCCTCCATAGCACCTGATCCCACCTTTGCTGATTTAGCAGTCCATGTTTGCTCAGCCTCTATTTGTATTGTTTGAATTGACTTTTGAGCGTGAAAACTGTTTGTAAACTCCATATACATGTATTTCATTCGCAGAATTTTTGAAGGACGTTTTACAGTAATCTGCAGCTCTTATGAAGGTAGTCTCTCTCTGATACATTTAATGATTTTAAGGATAGGGCATTCCTCTCCTAGAGATCCACTGATTATCATCCTATAGGTGATTTAAGAGTTTTACTGGATGAAATCTGCCAATTTCTGTAGTATCCTTGAAGATGTTGAAAATGACGAATGAAGAAGATATTGGGGAGACACACTCTGATCTTTACTACGTGAGATGGAATATGTGAATTGAAGACAGATCCAAGGCAATGTTTGCGACCTCTTGAAATTAAAAACGAGAAGCTCAACGATTTAAGTTAAGTTTTCAAGGAGTTTGTTTCAATATTTGTTTTGTTTCTTTACAATTTTTACATAGAGAGACAATTGCCCACCAATCGCCTTACAAAACTAAAAAATATAGGTGTACAAAAGACCAAATGTTTGCAATATTGAGCATTGATACTGTATATTTGTATATAATCTCTGATTGAAATGTATATAAAATTGCCTTTTAGAAAGCAAGTATAAAAATACTAGTACTCATTTTCAAGGATAAAATTTTCTTAGTATTTTTGTAGTGCTCACTAGTAATACCACTATAAACTGAATGGTCAGTTAGAAAGTCACGTCGGTGCCTACAATTGCGTATGAATTTAGTACGTATTCCATTAGGGTACACATATCAAGGATTAAAGTAAAATTGAGATGTTTAACTTTTTGTCAGTTGACTGGGGACCGTATGACATACCATCCTTTTGGCCTTTACTTGGCACTCAGGTTCATTGAGCAGTGAGAAATCTTTATCGTGCCAACGCCTGCCGTGACTCGTCTCTTTTTAAAGTCTTATCCAAATAATTCCTCGATCTATGTTATTTAAAAATGATGTAAATGAGATATGGATACTCTAAAAAAACAACAACAAGGAAATCTTTGCAAAACTTTGCCAAAACAATGTCATCAAAATATTTGACATAATTTTCAACACTTTCTACAACAATTTTTAAAAGTACAGACTTTTGACATCATAGACAGATACTTTATTGTATATCATGTTTTTCAAAGTTGCTAGAATTTCCAAACAACAATATCTTTGTAGCTTTTGAAAATAAAGTCTTCGAACAATCTGTCAACCAATCTGTTGGAATTCCCATGGGAATTTTGCCATGTTATTAGCAGACAAATTTTTTGCATGATTTCATATAGTACACAATTATTTCACAAACCTCTACAAAAAAGAAGTATCTTGTTGTGAACTCATATACTGACGCTATTTCAGTTTTTAATATTTATTTTCAATCCTCCATTGATTTGATATATCTATATGAATTCGAAATTAAAAATATCATAGAGTTTGACATATTGATAACATATGTTTGGATACTTTTTACTAGGAAAAAAGTCATAAACTCTAAACAACAGATATGGGTTTTATGATGTTAAAAATCATGTTTCCTTGTTAAAGATGAACGTTTGAAATAGAAAGTTAAGTATTGTCGAGCGTTTCCAAAAAAAAATATTAAAGCATTGTTTACAGGAAATATTTTCTCGATAAAACAGAAGAGCAGGTCAATCTGGTGTGCCACATGCAAACTGAAGTCAGAGATATTGGTAAAAATTTTTTCTATTTGGTTATCTGTAGTGTTGCACATGTTTAAGGATACGTTTTTAATATTACATATTCTTTAACTCGTTTTTCAATACTTTTTAAAAGGGTTAAAAATATCAATTAATTTTAAGGCAAATATTCTTTTCAGTTTTAGAAGTTTGAACTCAATCACATTGTATATTTTTTATTTACTAAATAAACATTGAACTCATATATGAAAAAGGATCGATAATTTCCACGCGTTAGATTTAGGAAGCCATCATGTATAATATTTGTTAGTAGAATGCTGCAGAATTTATTTTTAAAAATGTAAGAAGATTGAGAAATTTCGTTATGCAATTGAGATACTATACTCTCTAATCTCAACTTCTTGATTGAAGTTGATATGTTTTGATTTATGTTAAATATGTTAAATTCAACTAGAAATGTACCGGTACACGATCTTCAAATTAACCATGTAAGTATTTTTTTTTCTATAAAATTAGAAAAATTAGAAAAAAAATCTTCACACGACATAAATTCAATTAAATTTCCTCTGTTCTCTCCAATCCGGTAAGATATATTAACCGTTTACATGAGTCTTTTTCTCATGGTAAACACATTTTACAATATGATTCAGTATTATTTAGGGCAGGTTGGGTGAGGATGGTAGTAAGTAACATTTGTAAGTAAGCAATTCTTCCTGCTTGTGCAAAATTTATGTCTTATAGAACTAGATGAAAAATAAATTTCAGTAAATTTACATGATCTATATTTCAACCATGTGAACGTTTGGCCTATTTCCAATCGTTCTGAAATTTTGAAATAGTTGATAAATATAGCATTGTCGATTTCATTGAAATATGCTCTTTTAATATTTGAAAGAACTATGGCAATCCATTGTTTATTACGTCAAATTAATTTGTCATTTAACAAGAAACAGTATTTTTTCCCATGCGCATCGATGTCATTGAAGGAACACTGAGATGAAGAACAACTAGAAAGCCCAAAAAGTATTTAAAATACTTAAACAGTTCAAACATCATACTGATATACATTCAGACAGTGAGTGCATTTGAATACATTGCAAAAATTAAAATTTACACACCAACAGTAAAAATTTGCATACATGGAAATCTTACACCTGTAGGTAAATAAATGCATGTGAAGAGGGCTTCTAGTGTAACAGTTTGCCATATATCGGTGATACTCACCGACGAAGGTTAGTGGATTCATAGCATATGTATAATTTATAATTTACCTAAGGGTCCTAAAGTAAACAGGTAAAGGAGGCGTGCTTAACAAAGTATACAGAAATGTACAGGAATGCTGTCCCCCTACCCCATACCAGGAAACAACCTGCATCTTATTAAGATTTAGACACTGTTCTGTAGCCAGGCCCTAATGGATGATCACATCGTACAAAATACTGTGGCCCTTATACGGAAACACTCGTTCATTGTGACAATGACTAATCATATACATAGAAGTTGACAGCGACAACTTATTTGAGATACGATGGTGAATATCTCATTATATTAACTTTACTTTCAGATTTTATAATGGATTTATCAATCCTGGTTATTGTTCTGTTTTCTGTCTTGGATACTACAATAGGTAAATATAAACTGTGCCTCAGACTAATTTTCTATAAGTGGTTTGACATACAAAAATATAGACGACAAAACAGTCTCTGTAAATAATCTATGGTTAAGAAATTCTAGAAGGAAGCGAGGTAATATCTTTTTTGCGACTAAATCCGGCAATTAATGTGTCACTAATAGTAGAGAGACTGATTATTAACTCGTTTTGGCTTATTCATCAATAATACACATACACTTAAACACTTTTATTATATGATTGAATAATTTTCATCTATCTGATTGGCTGAGATCCAACTATGTTAGAAAAATATTACGTTGTATTGACCTGCACGTGACGTTCCAGGTCAATACAAGGATTTATTTCCTCTACATTGATCTAAAAATAGATTGGGAAATTCCAAATTGATACAAATTGTTTTAGAAAGCTACTTAAACGACTATGATTTTTATTTTCATGTGAACAAAACATAAGAGAATATATATTTTAGGTGAGGGTGGTAAGAGGGGATGCAGGGACCCCCCTCCAACACTTTTACTGAAAAACAACTTTTACATTTGGCAGTCAGTTTTCCCTGATAATACTCTTTCCTTTCAAAATCTATCCTATAAAAAAGACTGACATGATATATTTTTTTCATGTCAACCTTGTAAACCTTAGTAGTTGCATAAAACAAGAATCCTCATGCAGCTGAAATTGTTGTATAAAATGTAAGGTTTGTTCTCCACTCTGCTTAAAGTGCGAAAGAGTGCATTTGATGTGAGTTGCGGGGCATCTATAATGCCCGTTTTGCTTATGTAAACTTTTTTTAAGGTATCAATTAAAGGCGTACGTTTCCTTGTGAATGAAGAGAATGGAAAATAATGTAGAAAATGTGTGTATTGTTTAGTCTAAAACTGAAGTGTAGATTCAATCAAAAATTTCATCTAGTAGACCGAGAGCTAGAAATACCTGGCTATACCCTTAATTCAGTTTCCTTGTTCCTGAAATCCATAATAGCGGTACATAAGGCTTTTTAAAAGTTAAGAATATACTAAGGAAACATTCCGTATAGATCAAATTATGAGCATTGATGTTTTCCTTAAATGAACTGCAAATACATGTACAGCGAGAGTAAAAGAGCGCTAGTCTTTAAAGACAGCCATATCAGGATTCTATGTAAATAGAGTTCATTTTTAATTTTTAAACCATCTTGATTTTTTAATTATATGTACATAAATACCACCTTGTCCTCTTTCTCTCAGAAAATCTGACCGCATCTATTGGTTATCAAAGAATTTGAGAATTAGCATCAGGGAACCATTATAAAAATCTTAAGCTACACCCAGAAACAAATATTACTAATGCCCGAGAGACTTTTAAGACTCTGACTTAATTATATTAAAAATGTCTTCAAACAGAGATTTAGAAACTAGTTTACAGACAAAAAAATTATCCCTAAACACACTCATTTGAGTCTATCACCCAAGGCGTTGAAGACTGAGAAACCTGCCCCTAAGGTACAATTATAACATCTCGGTATGTACAAATTTGCACTTATCTGGATTAAAATTGATCGTCATTATACTGTCTAATCACATATTTTTGTGGTGTCAAATTTTCATGGTGTGAGGAAAAAAAATTTTTGGTATGTGGGGATTTGATTTCGTGGATGGAAAAGGTTTAAATAGTAATGCATATGAAATTTTACATTTCGTGGCGATCATAAATTCGTGGTTTTCTCCATACGTCGAAAATAAAGAAAATTATACACCCCCAATGAAAATTATTGATTTCAAAAATTTCAATTGATTAAAATAACAAAAATGCGCTAGACTTGTGACGAAATAGATAGAGCAAAACTCATTATCCTCTCTTGTTTTACTTGAATTAATAGGTGTTTTTTCATCGCCATTGAATTCTATCCCTTGCTTTGCTCGGCACCAAAGCGCATGGTCTTCGAGGAAAGGATACCAATATATACTTAGTGACGTGTTAGTATACCCACTTATGTTTTCCTCTACGAAAATGTAATGCTACAGATTTTTCACTCAAAGGGATAAATAACGATATATGTAAGAAGAGTTCTTCCTCGAAGACCATGCGCTTTGGTGCCGAGCAAAGCAAGGGATAGAATAAAAAAATAATAATAAAAACCAGGTTTTTGCAGTGAGAAAACATTTAGGAAAACACGGTGAAAATAAAATTACGAAAACCTTATTGCACCGTAGAGGGCATCAACAGGACACTACCAGAAATTTTCCAAAATATTAATATGCTACATATGTACATAAAAATGTAAGATGGGCTTCAGAAGAAATAATCGCTCTGGATCCTTTATTTGATCCCAACGGTGAAGATAAAAATTTCAAAATCTTATTGCACACCTACAGGATGCCACCAATCATATACTTAAGAATACATTGGGGTGAAAAAAGGGTTGTAGAAAATTATTTGTCTCGACCATCAATTGCTCACAGTGACCAAATCGAAAAGAAAAATATGAGAGGAGTTTAGGAAACAAAGGTTTATAGAACAAAAAATCAAACTATTTTAATTCCTTTTTGCCCTCCATTGTAAATGAAATTTCTTTAACCCCTACAAAAGTTTACAGGGACACCATGAATCATTTTCAAAAAGATGATTTCTCTTAGCTTCTGCAAGAAAATGTAAGAGGAATTCAGGGAACCAGGGCTGGGGTTCATGAAACTTCTAATCATGTACTTAAGTTAAAAATAATTCTAGTTTTGTATTTTTTACTTAACTTTCCTAAGTACTACTGAAATTTTGGTATACATAAACATACTTTGTGCTTTTTTTTTTTAAAAGTATTGACTAAATATTCTTGTAATAATTTATAAATGTAATAATGTATTTCACGTTTTTAATTTGCAAAAGCCGTCTTTTTTGTTTTATTTAGGATTGGAATGCTCTAAATGTACTCACGTGGTTATCAAGGACGTCCCTTCATTTCTCCAAAGCATTGTATCACCCAAAAGTCCTCAATGTGCCAGCACCCCTCCAGGACAAAGGGCCAATGGCGTGAATTTGGTTAAGTGCCCTAGTAATCCGACGTCAGGACAAGTGTACAAGTGTGGGACATATACCGGCACCGTCACCATGCAAATTGACCTTACCATCCTCAACCGTAAGATTGTCTGGGTGATTTTTAGATAGGTGGTTGCAGATCTGATTTGCAAAATTTTGTAAGCTACATCGCAAATTCTCTACATTAATAATCATACTGAACACAAAGTAGGAAATTTTTTTTTTTATTTTTTTTTTTATTTTATACATTTATTTCCAATAACATACAACAAAGTAGGAAATGATTTATTAAAAAAATGAGTATTTTATTCGGTTGAATTAACCTAGTAATATGGGCAAGCTGTTTTATGAATTCATCAACTTTTTACTTGTCCCCTGCTTGAAAAGTGGGGAATATTAATTTGGGTCTGTCCGTCCGTCTGTCTTTCTGTCTGTCTGTAACGCTTTCGTTTCCACACGATATCTCGAGAATCCTTTGAGCTTTCGCAATGAAATTTTGCCTAGCAACTCCCTATGAAATAAAGAAGAACCCTATTGATTTTGAGGTCAAAAGGTCATAGTCATAAATTCGCAAATTCTGTCTGTTATAACACTTTCGTTTCCGCACGTTATCTCGAGAACCCTTTAAGCTTTTGCAATGAAATTTTACATAACAACTCCCTGTGGTCTAAGGAAGACCCTATTGATTTTGAGGTCAAAAGGTCAAAGTTCAAGGTTGTAAATTTATACATTCTCTCTGTATGAAACACTATCCTTTCCGGGCGATATATCAAGAAGATTTTGAGCTTTTGCAATATAATTTTATACCAAAACTCCCTAAGACCTTTCTCACCCCTCTCAAACTGCCCCCCTCCCCTGTTTGTTTTATTAGTATTTATTGTATTACATGTCGCTATGTTTAGCACAGGGGCATGAGGAGAGTTATTACTTATAAAACAGGTTCTCGGTGGACTTTATATTTTTATTACATCTTTTAGAAATGTTTAATAAAGGTTAAATTAGACACCATGCATTGTGTAAATTCTGACAATATCGAACGTGAATATGTACAAGTATGTGACTTCATCTTTGCATATAATTCTTGCCAATGCAAAGTAGCTCCGTGGTCTAGTGGTATGTCTCTCGCAGAATAAAAGAGAAAAAAAATGTCTCTTGCTGCACATGTGAGAGGTCTCGAGTTCAAATCCCGAACGATCCATATTCTTTTTTTACGAAATACTTTTTTTTACTAAATGATTGTATTCAGCATGTGAAATGAAAAAAAATATGAGGTGTGGCTTGTACAAATTCATAAAAACATCATTAGAGCGTGATAAATATTCCATATAAAAAGAATCTTCTATACAAATAATAATTTTAAAAGAATAAGCAATCATATCTTTATATCCATATTTGCATATTTTATTTGCTTCAGTATACATGTATACATTTCATGATTCTACAAATTTAATCAAGGGGATCCGACCCCAACCCCCGAAGTACGCATGGTTTACTTTTTCCCAAAGCGGGGACACAAATTCTCTGAATTACTCGAGTAGCTTGTTTTCAATAGATTCAAGTGTCGCTGAGTTGTTAAACTCGAGCTGGAAAATCGATGATCGGTTACTAGTACCAACGAACACACCTTATGAATCCTTTTCTCCTTTAACCCTACTAATTTTTTCGCAGTTTTCGTTTACATTTTTACTGCAAATCATGATCATTAATTTTGAGGAATAAAATTAAGAGCATTCTGTCTTTTGCCTCTAGGATCTACCCCTGATAAAGTAGTACTTTTCTCCCAGTATTACCAGTAAATGTGTAGTTTATGATGACAAGTACTTGTCTGTGTTTTGTTACAGCCAGTGTAAATGCTGACATAGTATACCGTGACTGTGTTCTGATGGACCCAGCAGTCCCTGCCTCATGCGCTCCACAGAGCAACATGCCTGCTGATAACGCAGTGTTGAAACCCGTGTTGTCCAGCCTAGCAGATATCAATGCTGTCACCTTTGTCGGTACCAGATGCGTAGCAGACGAGAGATCTTTAATAGCCTTAGGTCAACATCAACACATCTGAGTGAAACCAAAACTTTCTTTTGCATGTTCATGCTTGTAATCACTAAATATATTATACCTCATTATAATTCTACACAACGCGACATCTGATTGGTTCTAGATTATTTCGTGATCAGGCCATAAATCTCCACATTTCACGGTCATCGACATGATTTTCATCATATTCCAACTCGTTGGATACCCAGTGCATTTTCCCGCAATATAGTAATCGTTCGTTGAAAAAAAAAATCCCGAGACATCACAATATAGCCTAGACAAATCGCGAGAAAGATAATTTGCGAATGAACGGTTGGTAGAGAGAATTAACATAGATTTTAGCACCATCAAAATAAAAGCGAGTAATTTTATTTAGCGTGTGCTGCTTCTCGCGAAATTACGCGATAATTAAATTCCACGCGTATAATTAGGAATCTACAGTAATCAGATTTATCCTAAAAAGATAAACACAAGTATCTAGAATGACGCTTATTGCCTTCTATTTAAAAAATAAAAATAGCTTCCCAATGCAACCCGTTTTCCAGAATTGCGGTTCTATCATTACGATTCTATGTTTTATAAAATATGAGCATTGATGCGCTTGCGTTAGGTCTGTTCAACTTCCCTTCTTGTTCACAACAGACGAAACCATTGATGCCTGGAAAGAAAATCAAGTGTCATTGGCTAAGTATTGTATCAATTAGAGCAATTTAAGTATTCAAATACCGTAAAGCAAAAGGAATTTGTTTAAAATTTATATATTAATTTTTTCAGAAAATGGTAATGTAAAACAAGAGAGTTTTATTTTTCAATACTTCATTTAATGAATGCATGTTTAAATATCAATAATTACTAATAAGAAACTTTTTTTGGTTTTATTGATTATTTGCAGGAAAATTAGCATGGAATTGTTGAGAGTGGGTTCCTCACGGGGAACCAAGACGAAACCGCCTTAAGCCAGACCCCCTGCACGTGTAGCAGGTTCCTCGGCGCCCCGGGACAACTAATACAAGAGTCCGCACAAATTCAGCGTGCTGGAAGTGGAAGCCAAGCGTTATCTGCTTATTCCAGTGGCCTACATATCACACACAAGGACAAGTCCATGAATAAATAAATGCCTCAGCTGCAACAGTCCTCTACGACTCCACCAACAAAAATGTTGCTTATCAGCCGGGCATCCACTAGTTAGTATTATTATACCTCTACTGTAATTACTCTATATAAGATTAATACCATAAAACTGTCTATTTCCCCGAGAAGAGACTATTTCGCTCATCTGAAGACAACTCCCTGGAAAACCAGGCCCCGGGATTATGAAACACCTTAGTTTAAAGCTGACATGAACTCTTAAAAAGCCATCATTTTTCATCTTTGTACAACTTACTACATTCCTGTACGCCTTTGTCCGCGATATTTCTTCGTTTCCGCCATATTTAAAGCTGACATGAATTCTTAACAAGTTTGGCTTTCCAGAAAGCCTGAAATGTCATCTCTTTGGTATCAATAATGTCAAAGAAATAAAACAGAAAGGAAGATATTTTAATGCAATGTATATATGGATTATTACGCCTGAAGTTCCCAAATGACTTATTCAGCAAACTCCACAGTAAAGTACGCAGTTTCTTTTTGCCGCAGTATAATATGGGAAGCATGGACGTCTGCGAGAGCACCCAAGGCTATTTTTGGTGAAATTTTATTCTAGCGATCTTTGTGGTTCTGGGTGTTTACAATTTACTTTAATTCAAATACTTTCCTTGAACTGTATTTTCTTAACACAATACGGAATTATCAACAATAATTATAATTCATTTAAAAGCAGCTAATCATTAAAGTTTGACAGGAATTAATTTAATAAATCCAATTACAGACTAAAAAATTAACATAAAATTAGCGTTGACCACTCTTCATTCATTTTTTTTGCAGAATCTAATTGTGATTTTGTTCTTTTGTGCGAGAACCAGTTTTCCCTTCCTGTCAACAAATCTATATATAGAAATCACGTCATTGTCAATTCTCCTTGTGTGGCTTACCCATTTAATAAGGCATAGTATTGAGGATCAATATATATACGACACACCAAAACTTGAGATATTTATAAGCATCGTACTTCTTTTCTAAATTTTCCTTGGCTTTCAAATAGGCCTAAACCGAAAGTAGGTCACACACTCCTAAGCTAGTTCTTCTAAAAGAAAACCAGTTTGCAGGCTACTTGGATCTCGGTAAAACATCGAGGACTCCCGAAAGATTAATGGAGGCTTACACTAGGACTTCACTTCCGGCATACAATCTTAATGTGTCATCTCCCGAGGGAGATGACAAAAACGCAACATTTTCATCTATGTACGACTTGTTTCATACCAACTATAGCCGTATTCCGCTATATTTCTTTCAGATACCTTGTCTCATTGTAACGATATATACCCCAAAGCGCTCGTTACAGTTGAATGATTTTTAGCTCACCTGAGCCGAAAGCTCAAGTGAGCTTTTCTGATCACATTTTGTCCGTCGTCCGTCCGTCTAGCTGTCCGTCTGTCCGTCCGTCCGTCTGTAAACTTTTCACATTTTCGACTTCTTCTCAAGAACCACTGGGCCAATTTTGACCAAACTTGGTACAAAGCATTCTTGGGTGATGGGGAATTTAAATTGTTAAAACGAAGGGACATATCCCCTCGCAAGGGGAGATAATCAAGAAAAGACAAAAATAGGGTTGGGTCATTAAAAAATCTTCTCAAGAACCACTGGGCCAGTAAAGCTGAAACTTATGTCGAATCATCCTGGGGTAGTGTAGATTTTAAATTGTTCAAATCATAACCCCCGTTTGTAGGGCGGGGCCACAATAGGGAATCCAAGTTTTACATAGAAATATATAGAACAAATCTTTAAAAATCTTCTTCTCAAGAACCACTGAGCTAGAGAAGATGAAACTTATTTGGAAGCATCCTGGGGTAGTGTAGATTCTAAATTGTTCAAATCATGACCCCCGGGGGTGGGCGGGGCCACAATGGGGAATCAGTGTTTTACATAGAAATATATAGAAAAAATCTGAAAATCAAAGCTGAAACTTATGTGGAAGCATCCTGTGGTAGTGTAGATTCTAAATTGTTCAAATCAAGACCCCTGGGGGTAGGGAGGGGCCACAATGGGGAATCAAAGTTTTACATAGAAATATATAGAAAAAAATCTAGAAAATCTTCTTCTCAAGAACCACTGGGTCAGAAAAGCTGAAACTTATGTGGAAGCATCCTAGGGTAGTGTAGATTCTAAATTGTTCAAATCATGACCCCCGGGGGTAGGGCGGGGCCACAATGGGGAATCAGTGTTTTTCATAGAAATATATAGGAAAAATCTTTGAAAATCTTCTTCGCAAGAACCACTGGGTCAGAAAAGCTGAAACTTATGTGGAATCATTCTAGGGTAGTGTAAATTCTAAATTGTTCAAATCATGACCCCCGGGGGTAGGGCGGGGCCACAATGGGGAATCAAAGTTTTACATAGAAATATATAGGAAAAATCTTTGAAAATCTTCTTCTCAAGAGCCACTGAGCCAGAGAAGATGAAATTTATTTGGAAGCATCCTGGGGGTAGTGTAGATTCTAAATTGTTCAAATCATGACCCCCGGGGGAGGGCAGGGCCACAATTGAGAATCGATGTTTTACATAGAAATATGTTGGACAATCTTTGAAAAGCTGAAACTTAAGTGGAAGCATCCTGGGGTAGTGTAGATTTTCAATTGTCTAAATTATGATTAGTGGGGTAGGGTGGGGTCACAATATGGCCAAAGCTTCTCAGGTGAGCGATGTGGCCCATGGGCCTCTTGTTTGGTTTGGGTATAGACTTGTGCACATCTCCGGTGGTAAAGCATATGAGAACACAAGACATTTCAAAACCACAATAAACAACATAATAATCATATTTCTGAATAATTATTGATTTGAATCAAAAGAAAAAAATGCAAGTTTGGTGAGAAATTTAGATGCACGTCACGCGTATGTATTTTTACAGTGCGCCAATTTATGCAGAATAAACTTGAAATAAAAAGCAGTAAAATCTGCAAACATATTTTGAAATTATATCATCTGAATGGAACAAAACAACCAACGTCTTTGATTTGCACCCCTATGCAATTGGTGCATATCGAGAAAACGCCTCGAACGCTGTAAACGTACCCATACCTGGTAATAAGATACTGCATCGGTTCGAAGATGTGCACAAGTCAAGTGATATACACCCTGAATTCCATTTATTGAAATATGCATCACAAAAAAAATAAACTCCGTAAAAGCTCAAAAATAAACACACTGTCATTACTCCCTACAGACTAGCAGGCCGATACACTTAGTCCGTGCTGATCAGATTTTGGTCAGGGAAAATATCACAAGTGGAAAGAGAAGTTATTTGGTATTTGCGCGGCTGAAAGGAGGGTGGGGTATCATAACTGCTGTTCATATGCTATAATTGTGAAATGTCTATCTACATGTAGTTCTAATATACATTCTATACAAAGTCATGTACAAAATGTATATAGTCTGCAGTTGGTTTGCGTCGCAAAATTCATTTGTCAATTATAACTGATTATTTTAGTACTAATCTCAAATCTAAACCAAGTAATTTGATGTACGGTAATTATTTACTTCAAATCTTAAAAGCAATTAACCAGAATACAATTTTTTCTATACGTTCTTTAATACACAAACACACGAAGAAATGCCATCCCCTGTTCAGATTGACATCTAGGCATTTGATTTTTAGACGGGGGGGGGGGAGCGTGCAAAAATAATTGACATGGCCGTTATCTAAATATTTTTGGAAGACAGACATCTCTGCCGAATTCAATTTTGAATTTTTTTTTAAATGTGTCACTCCTACCGCAAAGTATGTGCATTTTGAGGAATGTATAAATGTTTTATAATTATGTTGTTATAGAGAGTCTATCGAGATTTCAGTATCCCTGCCTGATAGTCTCGCTATTTTTTTTAATATAAAAATAATTTCTGTAGGAGTATTTAGGAGATAATTTTTTAAAGCTAGGGTAGGGATTCTTAACACTGGTTGAATACGAATAATTTTTATTTACTCTTTTGTATATTGAACTAACTCTCTCTCTCTCCCTCTCTCTCACACTCTGTAACCATGCATCCCTTAGGGCAATAATAGGTATAAGATCCTACGCACTTTCTGCTGTACCATTTATTCAGCCTTAGGACAGATCAAGGATTTTTTTTTTCAGGCGGGATGTCGAAACTTCATAAATTAAATAATAATTTAAATTTGGACAAGAAGTTAACCCAAACGGCCAAATTGAAAGAGAAACTAGAGGTATTGTGAGCAATGAGCTCACTAAATGATACCCCCGCCTCCCATATGGTTATAATGGCAAAGTCCATATTTTGCTGTTGTCGCTAAACCCAAAATACGTGTCGGATCAAAAAGTAAAATAGGAGGTGCACAATGGTAATATGTTATAAACCTAAGATTCTGTTAAAGTTTTAGTAAATTTCACTAAGTGGTTTAAGAGGATTTGCGGATAAGAGATTTGTATCCCAAAGCGTAACAGACCGACAGACGGACATAACTATTACTATATACCCTCCCACTTTTCAAGCGGGGGATATAATAAACGTGAAATATACATCACAGGAATGGGTACATTGGGAACTTTCTCAAATACCTTCTCAAACGCATTGGCGTCGGAAGCAATTTGAAAGTGGGGGTGGGGGGGGGGGCTAAGTGCAAAGAATTTTTTTTATACATTCGAAAAATCTGAGAAGCTTAAAAAAAGGGGAAATGTCCTTTTCCAAAACACGAATATCATATCTCGTGTGGGGGAAAGGGGGGAAGGTAGGTTCGAACTTCAATAACAAAATTTTTCTCCTTACACCAACATTTTCCTCTTTTTTAACCTATACTGCGACTTGTCTGTGGAAAGTGGGGGGGGGGGCTAAACTTACGCAGCAATGTTCAATGTCTATACTAAGTATATATTTGTAAAAAAAAACCATCCCCCGGTTCCGACACCTATGCTCAAACGTACGAGTCGAACCTGAACCTGGACAACAGACAAGAGAATTTTTTAAAAGCTAATTTTAGGTAGAATGTGAAATTCTCTGGGGGGTGTGGGTGCTCTCTCTTTCTATCTGCTTTTTCTAGTAAACATTAATTATTTATGTCTAGAAATTTAATTCACATTAAATTCTGGTCAGCGCAACTTCTTATAAACCACTGAACAGAGTTTTGTCAAACTTTCGAGATATTTATAGGAGTCAATGTGTGTTTAGATTTGCACATCACCAGAAAATTACGAATTATATATTTTTTCGGGAATTTCCACACTTTTACATTTAGATTTTGGCCATATCTTGAATATAAAAATGAGCAGTTTGTCAGTGCAATTCCTCATAAACTGCTGCACACAATTTCGTTAAACTTTGCAGATATTTAGGACACAATGTGCATAGATGTGCATATAACAAGAAAATTACGATTCCTTTTTTGTTTTCTGGAATTTCAGCACTTCGACTTTTGGGGGAGCGTGGGGTATGTTT